AACGCGTCTCTCAGGCGCTTGGAGTTAGCAAACGAACGATAACAAATATTAATGAAGAAAAGTTCGGCTCTACTGGCACGGAAGATAATATTTTACGTACTCCGAAGAAGAAACGTAGAACTAAACCCGTGACAGATATTGACACCTTTGACGCCGATGCAATCAGAAATCATATATATGGTTACTATTCTAGAAATGAATATCTCAGCAGGAAGAAGCTTTTGGCATCGTTAAGAGAAGCTGGACTGTTTAGCGGGGGTAAAACTGCTTTAACCAAAATCTTAAAAGATATTGGTTTTTCGTATAAAAAACAGACAAAAGAAAATTTTTATTAGAACGATACGACATAATTTTAAAACGGATAAGTTTTTTGAGAGAAGCAAAATATATTGATAACTGGGATAATGTCGTATTCATTGACGAGACATGGCTAAACGCCAATCACACGGTTTCCCGTTCTTGGACGGATGATACACAAGCGTCGACGTCGAAAGTACCAATGGGTAAGGGGGCCCGTCTGATAATATGCCACGCAGGTTCTGCAAAATGCGGCTTTGTGGAGAACGCGTTACTGGCATTTCAATCAAAAACCACAAATGACCACCACCAGGAAATGAATGCCACTACATTTAAAGAGTGGTTCCAGAACGTGCTTTTGCCCAGCCTACCAGAACCTTCTATAATATTCATGGATAATGCCTCCTATCACTCGGTTGAAATACAGAAATCAACTACCCAAGCTAATAAAAAAGAAGAAATGGTGGTTTGGTTACAAGCAAAAGGTATTGACGCAAATATGCAGATGCTAAAACCAGAGCTAATTAAATTAGTTAAAGAAAATAAAGCGGCAAATGTGCGATACGAAATCGATGAACTGGCTCTCGTTACGGTCATCGCGTTCTAAGAATTCCACCGTATCATTGCCAATATAACGCGATTGAGCTAATCTGGGCTCAAATAAAAGGTTACGCCGCCCGCCACAATACTTCCCCGCCATTCAGCACGAAAAAGATGATGACCCTATTAAAAGAATGTTGAAATTCTATGAGGTTCATAAGAGTGGAATTGAACGAGTACAGCGGAGGTTCCTTAGTATGCTAGCATTGAAATTTAACCGACACCGCTCCTTAACTTCATATGATGAACGGCTAAAGCATTTCCGTATATCTTCCTTATATAACAGGCGCAAACTTTTGGATTTGAGCTTCCTCCACAAACTATGTAATAATGGCATTGACTGTCCTCAATTACTTGAAATGGTTAACATTAATGCTCCAAGCAGATTACCACGATTTAATGTCTACAAGCCGTTTATGGTCCCACCTCACAGGACTAACCTCGGTCTTAATTCAGCATTATGCAGAATGTTTAGACTGTACAATGATATATCTAGGCCATCTGATTTAGATATTTTCAATGACAATTTAAACAATTTCAAAGAAAAATGTTACTTTATTTAGAATCTAAGTTTTAGATGATAAATGTAAAACCATTTTAATTTCTCACAAATACGCAATTTTGCTACTGTACTATTAAATTTTACGATAATTAACTTTTCGCAACATTACTCTGTGTTAGCTGTTAACTTGTTATCTATAACTGGGTGAGCACATTGCATGTTTCTTACAAAGCTTGGTTCTTGTTTTTAGTATTTGTGTATCATCTGTCGGTGACCCTTATAAATAAATAAAAAAAAGAAGCCTGCGGGGAAGTCACAAGAGATGACTGGGCAAAGGTTTTTGAGAAGACTAAAAACCTGATTGTGGAACATTTGACCGAGATATCAGGACTGATTCTGTTATTGATAATAATATAATTACACATGTAGGCGAAGATGATGATGAAGGCACCACCTCCTCAAGCGAATCGGAGTCTGATTAATATTCTGTACGCACATTCAATTCGATGTACTTTATTGCATAGAAATACAGATTGTAACTTTGTACACTTTGTAACAAAGAATAAATAAAACAATTTTATTATATTAATATTACCTTTTTTTTGGTTTCCACTTAAATTACTAAAATATAAATTTTAAATGATTCCGCCAATTTAAAACGAAAATAATCTTAAAAATAACGCGGCGGTTCATTTTGGAGGAACGGTAACGAACTCAGTGTTATGTTGTGCCCATCACTAGTCTGCAAAGTTTATCATTTTTGCGATTGGAACATTTGCATCTCGAACACTGAAATGTTCCGAAATACTGATATGTTTCATTTGGATCATCGACTCAAAAGATATTAAATACAGAATGTTTCGAATACATTAAGTTGCTTCGCGGGCGTTTATTACTGACTGATTCAGTGAAAATGTTATATGGCAACAATGCTGAATGATATAAGTTCTTAGGTTATATTATTATATATTATATAGTCATTGTTATTTATTGTGTACCGTAATAAGGTTGTATATAAAATTGATCCTCCTTTATATTCTATCCAGGCTTAGGACTGGCGGCTAGTCCTTAATTAATGGCCAGCTGGTTTATTATTTATGATAAAAAGGAAGAAAGTAAGTCACAATAATCATTACGCAAAGAAATCCTAAACAGAAATCAGTATGTTTTCCTAAACAGGCGCAAACGAACATAAACAATTTAACAAGTGCTGGAGCAACGTAAAATGAAAACTTTTTAATGTAAACATTATATGCAAAAGATGACCGTATTTGTATAGTATTTGATACGTAAGCGCCTTAGTGGTCATTTTTACCTGCATGAATAACTATAGCGAAAATCCGTACAAGTTGAGTGATAGACTTCTCATTTGTTATCTCTTTCTGTCTTGTATAGATTGTAATTATTTCGTGCGCTCAGTCGCCACTCTCTTGCTCGTGGCTCAGTCGCCTTGCGAGCGAGACGCGTCGCGCTAAATGAGTACAGAGCAAATTAATTTTCCAGATCCAGATCCAAATGATGCATTTGAAACGTTGTTACTGAACCAATCTTTTGAATCACTTCAATGATTAGAATCAGTGAGTCAGTTCCGTAAAGAGTTACACACACCTAGCAACTAGTTCTAGCAGCAGCGCTGTTGGTAGAGGACGTGTGACACAAATTTGATCTATTAGCACGCTATTCATCGTGCGCGACCTAATTTAGTGTTAGACGTTGTTTAGTTTGTGTATACTGTATATTTATTAGTGATCGAAGGACATAGTTGTCTGCTATAAAAGAAGCTTCACTAATGTTTTTAAATGTGAATGAAATATAGATATAAAAATGTACATAATAGTGTACGTAAATAGTTGATTTTTATAAATACAATCAATAAACTTTTAAATACACAGTTATTGAATTATCTTTTATATTAAGGTTAAAATAACGTTTACATCAATTATAATAAAAAAATAATTTATTTAATTTCATTTTAAAAAGTACATGCTTTAAAAATATTCTTAGGATTATAGAAAGTCGTAAGCCTGAAAAGCATGAAAAAGCGTTCATTGGTTTTTATTTACCGCTTCATTTTATTTTAGTCTAAAATGCGATTTATTACGAAATAATGTTCTTATATAGCACGCGGTCTATCCAATGAACGACATGTAATGTAACGTGCTACGAAATATAGCGTGCTGCAAAACTTAACGCGCTTGTCGGCCTCCTACACGCTTTCTTATAAATAGCACGCTATAACATAGCGTATTTAATAGCGCGCTAGAAGTTTATCATCATCATCATCATTACAGCCCTTCACAGGTCCACTGCTGAACAGCAGTGAAGAACCACCGTCTCAGATCCGCAAGTCATCACTGGCAACACGTACTGGTTATACACTTTAGTTTTCAGATATTGAGGTATACCTGACGAGAAGATGTGTCGTAATTTCCCGAACGCTGCCCAGCCGAGTTGAATCCGTCGATTGACCTCTCGGTCGAAGTTGGACTTACCTAGTCGGACTATTTGTCCCAGGTAAACGTACTCGTCAACAACTTCGATCATAGTGCTCTCAACAACTACTGACATAGGTGTGACATGGACATTAAACATGATCTTTGTATTGTCCATGTTCATCTTAAGACCTACACGTTGGGAGACACCATTGAGGTCATTGAGCGTAGTGCTAAGGTTTTCCAGCGATTCTGCCATAAGGACTATATCGTCGGCAAATTGAAGGTGAGTGATGTACTCGCCATTGATGTTAATACTGTATTCTTTCCAGTCCAGTAGCTTGAAAACGTCTTCCAACGCAGCAGTGAAGAGTTTCGGGGATATAACATCACCCTGTCTTACACCTCTCTGCAGTTGGATAGGTTTCGAACTCTGGTTCTGTACTCGGATAGCCATTGTAGCCCTACTGTACAAACACTTCAGCACTTCGATATACCGACAGTCAACTTGGCACCGCTGAAGGGACTGTAGCACCGCCCAAATTTCGACAGAATCAAAGGCTTTCTTATAGTCCACATATGCCAGGTAAAGTGGCAGATTGTACTCTTCGGTCTTCTGTACAATCTGCCGCAGGGTATGTACAGTGCTGCATGGATCTTTTGGCACGTGGCTATAATCGGAACTAAACGCCGTCATTGCCGCCATCTTGTAAAACGTCAGTTTAGACAGCCGGCTCAAGTCGTTGTTGTATACCGTTATTTATTGCTTTTAGTGCCGTTTATAAATCTCAAAATATGCCGAAATTGATAAGAAGTGGTACTAGAGAGGTGGTGCTAAATGTGAAGAGATTTTTTATGAAGGAAAAGCAATCTAGCGCCCCTGTTATTTCATTTGAAAGAGTAAATGAGCGCGTTGCAGCTGCTACAGGTAAGTGATGCCATGCCATAGTATCCTTAGTTTGCTCGTTTTATTTACCAAGGATAGTGGTCATATTTTGTAGGCATATTATGAGATATATTTTCTCCTTCAAATTGATAAAAATAAATACGATTTCAGGTATATCTTTACGAACAGTTGCAAGAATTACAAATGAAGGGAAATTAGCTGAAGAATCGTCAAGTAAAATAGTAACACCGAGGAAAAAAAAACAAGGAAGGATAAAATTTTTATGGACAATTTTGATATTGGTGTTCTTAGACGTAAGATCCATGAGTTTTATTCTTGTAAAAAAGAAATACCAACAGTGAATAAGTTGCTTCGTCTACTTAAAGAAGAGATTGGATTCACTGGCAGTAGAGAAATTCTCAGACAGCACATAAAAAAGATTGGATTTCGATATAAAAAAACTAAAAGCAATAGAAAAGTACTGATGGAACTTAACGATATAACTGCTTGGCGCGCTCTTTATCTTCAGGTAGGTACATTTATTTTCTATTCATAATGTATTTTAAATTAAAGTGACACACTTATTCATGAGTAACATAGAATTATTTTATTTCAGACTATAAAGCGTAATGACGAGACAGAAAAATTACCAGTTGTTTACTTAGATGAGACATATATTCACTCCGGTCATACAGCTGGTAAATGTTGGCAGGATGATGATGAAGGTATTGTTTAGTTAACTATCTCATAATATTTATAGTCTAGTTAATTAGTGTTATTTGCATTTGTTAATGTACAAACGATTGATTTCAGATGGAGTATTAGAGCCTGTCTCCAAAGGACAAAGATTTATTATTGTCCATGCCGGAGGTAATGAAGGTTTTGTAGAGAATGCATGTTTGGTGTTCAAGTCACAAACAAAAAGTGGTGATTACCATGATGATATGAATCACACAAATTTTAAAAAAATGGGTTGCAGAAAAGTTAGTTCCCAATTTGACAAAACCCAGTTTAATTATAATGGACAACGCTCCATATTACAATACACGCATCAACAAACCCCCAAACACAACTACCAGAAAACCAGAAATAATTGAGTAGTTACAAAATAACAATATTGAATATTCAGAAGAATACACAAGACCACAATTGTTGGAAATTGTCAATAGTATAAGCCCGAACCAGTGTATGCTGTTGATGCTATTTTAAAAGGACTGGGTCACAATGTAATCATGACTTAAATACTAAATCTACTAGTAAAGTGACTTCATAAATTGTTATTTTTTATTAAAATAAATGACTATGGGTTTATTTAAAATTGCTTATTTTCTTTTTCAGATATCGCGTTTACCACCGTATCATTGTGACCTCAATCCTATTGAAATGATCTGGGCATCAATGAAACGCAAAGTAGCTGAGGTAAATATTGGCAAACCAGCCAATCAAATGCCAGAAATGGTACAGGAAGCTTTTAATTCCATTCCCGTCGAAGAATGGTGCAATCATTGTGCCCACGTCAAGAAACTTGAAGGAGAATACAGAAGTAAAGATGGATATTTGGATGCACCTTTCATCGTGGAATTATGCTCTGAGAGTGAAGAAAGCAGTGATGACGATTCTCAAGATGAAAGTGATGAAGAATTTAATAGCATTGAACCTCTCGCCATAGTTCATGCAGAACATAATTATAGTAAAAAAATTAGAAATATTGTTTTTTATTTCGTTTACTATTGCATTATAGTTTTCATGTTATAAATTCTGTCATCCAAATATTTCCTTCTCTTAATTTATACTACTAAGGTAGCAACTAAGCATAATGCCTGCCTTATGGTAAGCCTGAGCCTGCAAAAACCATTTTACAACCTAGTTATATAACCCAACTAGCTTTCGCCATAACATCATTCCCAACGTGTATGCAAAATTTCATGATGATCGGTTCAGTAGATAGGGCGTGAAAGCGTAACAAACAAACAAGCAAACTCACTTTCGCATTTATAATATTAGTTGGGATACTGCCAAGCCCCATACTCTATAATTAAGACGAATTCCATAAAACAAAGGATTTTTTTTAGCTGGTAACCGTTAGTGAACACCCACGCCCTCATTTCAATGTCATGCAAGTGCCAAATGATCCTTGTGGGACTATATGTGGTCTATGGTACTGAAGCCTTTTCGAAAACCGGCTTGTTCGGATGTTTATAGTCCAATTTATAATCGTTTCGAACAACTACTTAAAACTATATGCAGTAATCTATGCTAAAAACCACTTCTTATTAGTTTGTGGTTTGTGCTTAAAACTTAACGTTAGAGTTGAGTTGGTTATTTTCGCAATCTGCAGCAACACGATACGTCCAAAATAAAAATGTGTACAAAAGTACTCTGTGATAAAAATGTTACCAGTTGCGACAAATCGCGTATTAGGTTGTTTCAGTAACGTAAAAAACCATTGAGTTCGATTGAGTTATACAAAACGTTACACAAAAAGTGAAATATTTAAATCAACGCCTTGCACGATTGTGCGCCACGCATTGCGGTTAAAGTTGTTCAAAACGACTATAAATCAATAGCAAGCTACAGACTATAAACTAGAAATTTCTAGCGCGCTATTAAATACGCTATGTTATAGCGCGCTATTTATAAAAAAGTGTGAGGAGGCCGGCAAGCGCGTTAAGTTTAGCAGCACGCTACATTACATGTCGTTTATTGGATAGACCGCGTGCTATATAAGAACATTGTTTCGTAATAAGTCGCATTTTAGATTAGAATAAAATAAAGTGGTAAAGAAAAATTAAAGAACGCTCTTTCATACTTTTCAGACCGTTTATAATCCTAAAAATATTTTTAAGGACTGTACTTTTTAAAACAAAATAAAATTAATCATTTTTTATTATAATTGATGTAAACGTTATTTTAACCTTATTATAAATTATAAATCAAAGGTGTATTTAAAAGTTTATTAATTGTATATACAAAAATCAACTATTTACAAACACTATTATATACACTTTTGTATCTATATTTTATTTACATTTAAAAACATTGGTTACGCTTCTTTTGTAGCAGACAACTGTGTCCTTTGATCACTTATAAATATACAGTATACACTAACTAAATGACGTCTAACACTAAATTAGTTCGCGCGCGATGAATAGCGTGCTGCTAGATTAAATTTACGTCACACGTCTACTCCCAACAGCGCTGCTGCTAGAACTAATTGCCGCTTGATATGAATAGCGCCAAAGCGTCATAGCGTCATAGCGCCATGGCGACTACTTACATAGCACGCGCTATGCGTTATGAAGAGACAGCGCGCTATAATGTGGCGCTATGCGCTATATTAAGCACCATTAATTGCGGTACGCTGTACCGCAACTTTTTAGTGAGTGTCCAATGCCCGCTCAGACGAGTCGTGTTCACTTCGTATAAATAACAACTTCAAAATGCCTGGTAGTGTTCTTAAAGACTGCGGTAAACACTCCAGAACATCAAAAAAAGTGATGGTTTAACATTTCATCGGTAAATAGATATTAAAACGTTTAAAACTCTATGTTTTAAAGTTTTTCACGTTGTTAAAAACGCGAAAATCTTTAAAACAAAACGGGCTGTCGACCGCCGCCATTTTACAGTACTAATCATAGAGTAATAAAAACAAAAGACGCAGATACGCAACATACATTTGTGCTTATTTTGTTGTTCAGTTTGTCAATAGTATGTATTAACTATTATTGTGTAAAATAAGTAAATAGTGACTTTTACTTAAATAAACTAAATAATTTTGAAGGTTTCTTCTGCATCATAAACTAATAAGTATAAAAGATATGGGTGGTTTATGTTACTACACTGAAGATTTTATAAAATTTGTCTATCGACGGAAATGGTTATACGTCGTTTAATTCGGTCCAGTGGCGAGAATGGACTGTCATCTAAATACAACTACAACTATATTACAACTAATGCATTGAAGTGTTTTGTTGAGAAAGACGTATTCGTTTGTTTACTTGGTCATTAACTTGATCAACCTTCTACATTAAATCACAGAGTGCTAATACGTGCAATAATAAACAAATATACAACTGTTCGATTGCACCACGAGGCAAATATTACAAATGACGTTTTATATCCTTAATTGGGGCCCTCGTATTTTGACCGTGATACTTAACTGGTACTGTGTTTCTAACTATATCTCCTATGACCTCTGCTTTTTCGTAACGCGCTTTATCCTTACTTCTACTAACATTCGTGCCTTTTATAAATATTGTGTCCTTATTTTGTAATCTTTTAATTTCTTTAGTTACTTTTAGGGGCTTAGAGAAAATTGTGTCCTTATTTTGTAATCTTTCGATTTCTTTGGTTACTTTTAGGGGCTTAGAGAATATTGTGTCCTTATTTTGTAATCTTTTAATTTCTTTGGTTACTTTTAGCGGCTGAGAGGACGTCATGGTAACCCTATCTTCGGACGTATTTTGTATCACCGTGTCTGCAAATGAATTGACGCATTTTACTATAGCACTTGGCATCCTAGAACCTTGACCAAAATCGACATAATCTACTATCGCATTTTCATTCTGCATATTCGTTGGAACTCTGATTGCGTTTCCGTTCTTGGTTCCAACTTGATTTCGTGTGGGGGGTTATATATAATAGACATATTTGTGTCACGTGTGTGCAATATTTGGTTTTTCATATCTATTGAGGCGTCAAGTTGTTTTAAAAAATTCGAACCTATTAAACCGTCATATCTACTATCGTGCTTCCGGTGTCTATCATAAAACGCCTGAATTTCCGGGATCTCGATATGCGGTAGTTTAAAAGTCGTATCACAATTTATTTGTATTATTTCGGGGGTGGATCGGGGGGCTACTATCTCAAAATTTTCAGTATCATTCGAAATTATATTAGGGTTGTGACTTACTTCTTCTATTTCGCTATACGGTTCTACTTCAAATTGGGACACTTCTAAATTATACGTGTAATTATTCGCGTCACAGTAATTTATATTATGGTTATAATATTCCGCTGGTATTTCGGGTTCGTTACTATAGAATATCTCGTTATCTTGGGGAATCCTAGAGTCATCTAGCATATTTTGTCTTATCGGACGTGCGGTACGCATAGAAACATCGGTATTTTCATTTAAATTTTGTTTCTGGAAATTCTGATTAGGTACACCAAATTTAAATTTATTTTGGGGTTGATTTGTAAAAGCTAGTGGGGGTCGCGCATAATTATTCATGTGTGGCCTAAAGCCCTGGTATTGTTGGGGTATGCCAAATTTAAAGTTAGATTGCTGGTTTGGAATACCAAACTTAAAGTTCTGTGGTCCCGTATTATTATTAAATCTTGGGCCATTATTAAAATTATTTTGAGCAACAAATCTTTGACCTTGTTGCTGATATGGAATACCAAATTTAAAATTATTATTAGGCAATTGAAATTTATTCTGGGGTCCAACGTGTGGATTTGCAAATTTAAAATACGATGAATTATTATTAGGTAAAATATTAACACTTTGTTGGGGTTTGAAATTTTGGGATGTTATATTCTGTTTCGTTTTATTTTTCGCATTATATTGGTTCATGAAATTCACTTCCTCGGTTACGACACTTAAAGCGGATTCTAAACTAGTACACTGTCTAAGACGCACGATACGAATTAAATCCTCGGGTAAATTATAAAGGAATACATTTAATGACATATTGTTATACACTATCATTTTGGCTGCTTTTACTCCTTTATCCTGTATTAGATTGAATTTTGCGAATAAGGTACTACGTATATGTTGTATTCTATGACAAAAATCGATAAATGATTCGCCAGACTTAATTTTCATTTGTTCTAATTCGATAGCTATGCAATCTTCCGAACGCGGATCGCCAAAATGTTGAATTAAAATATCTTTAAGAGTGTTCCAACAATTAATATCATCACGCTCACTTAACAAATGTGCTGCCCTACCTGAAGTCCGTTTATATCTACAGACATTGAGCGTGCCAGACACGTGCCGTGGCAGACCAAATAATATTTTTCTATACAGTGTTTATTAACGTATTTATATCTATCGTGACACGGCCGCGCAGACGCCGACAGACACAGGCCGTGCCCGGCCAGTATTCGCGGAAAGAATATTTTGTCTGCGCGGTTCATGTATGTACGTGTCTGTGGCTACCTGCCGGCAGTGTTGCCATATATACAGATTTCCCCGTATTTATACAGATTTTCGGTGTATGATACAGATTAGCACTGGATACAGATTTTTATACAGAGTTTTCTAACTCTATTGATTGGATTATCATAATATTCAACTTAAAATAGAATGAAGCAAAATAAGAGACTAGATACCGCGTTACACACATTCATGATTCTATTCTTTATGGTTGATTTATTTTTACACAACGTAATTAGTTAGTATGGCAGAATTACAAGTGTATTACAAAATATGTATACAAGGTGTAAGTGTAAACACTGTTGTCACTAAAACCATAGGTAGTTGGCTTTAATATAAAAATATTTATCCAAATTCTAAAAAAAAACCTATTTTCTTTCATAAAATTTAAGAGGTTTCTGTCCGAAACCGTCCGTAAATTCATGGATACCCTATGCGCCCGGGTGAGTAATCACTGTAACAGCGCCTCTACACGTTGGCCAACACAGTGGCGAATGTAGTGACTAATCGCATTGGCCAACGTGTAGACGGGGTGTTTGGGCTTCATTGGTATGTATTGGGACGATGGCCCACAATTTGGCGCGAGATCCGT